TCTCTCTCTCAATTTGTGAAAAGCATCAGCAGTTCATGGTATTTTTCTATCACTCTCAAGAGTGTTGCTTTACTTAAAAAATATGAAACCATCTGCTACAGGGGTTTGCATCCTAGCCAAAATGGAAGCTCTTGCTGACATGAAAATATACCGTGCAAATAATTATATTATCAGTGGACACTCCTTGGAGCACCTATGTTCAGCAATTGCCCCTGTTCTGGTTACAGTTATGCTCATGCAAAGAAGCAACAGATTTCAGAGGTATCCAAATTTTAAGATTTAGTTTGGAAATTATTAGAGGCAATTTCATAACTCATGCAAATGACTGAAATGCATGTTGCAAGGCATTTGGAAGTGGTATTATTTCAATGGGGATTTCATAACCTCAATGTGTTTCATTTCGCTTCTATTTTCGTGTTCAAATGATTAGAGGAGATAGTTTGCTTCTTCCCATTGTTATGCAGTTAGAACATTGTTTTCCTTTGTTAAGTGCTATGGGAGGATCAAGTTCAAGATGCCCTCTAAAACATTTAATCTCTAATATGAATTACATTTACTGACTGATGCCTTGTGAAAAAAGTTAACTGATTTTGTTTTTTTTAACTTGTAACTCGTTGCAGATTAGGTGAAATCAAGGAATGTCCTTGATGAAGAACCCAAAGTGGATGAAGGCATTCCTAGGCCAATATAAAGATTGTCTGAGAGAAGAATCGTCAAAGATGACAAGTGATGTGATTACCATTTAGCAGTTGCTAGACACATCTCAACCAATGAAGAACTCTATGAGATTTCTTCTCTTATGCTTTCCTCATGCTGAAAGAATGAAGAAGAGTAGCATCTGTCAGCCATCATACCATGTAAATTTGCACACGATGGCTTTGTTGTCTTTTGACCGAGTTATCACACCTTGTGATGTTGCCCATACCATGTCATTTTCCGGGTGTGAAATTGTGGCCATAGTGTACCATTTTGCTGGCATTGCGCCACCATTTCCCTCTTTATTCCCAAATATTTTAGCTGTACAAGGCTTATGTGATATGAATTACACTCACCCTACTGACTGGTGAATTTGTAACAGCCTTTGGAGCTATCCTAGGAACTTACTAAAGATTGTACTGACCTTCATGAAGCAGTTGTCAAATCGAGATTCGAACAGGGAATCAAAATCTTAATTTTCTAAATAGAGAATATCAATTCGGAAATGTTACTTTCTCCTCAACAGTCATATCTCTTAACTATTGAT